CCCCAAAACCCCAAAACCCCAAAACCCCAAAACCCCAAAACCCCTCTTTGGGAAGGATTGGATTATTAAAATAGCTTATTTTAGATAATTTTACAAAATTTAAGCAAAATGGAAAATAGTCAAACAAAACATCAGAAGACTACAATTGGGAAAGGTACTGGAATAAATGTGATTCCTATCAAAGTTAGGAGCATTTTCTTTGTTGCCCCAGTCTTAATAAAATAATTCTCGATTGGTCTAAATAGGCAACCAGAAGTCATGATCATTCATGAATTTTATAGCCAAAATAATTTCCATACGGAAGATGTCTACTTTGCTGATGACTGATAAGATAAACCAGCTGCTAAAAGTCAAGAAGCCATCGAACAGGCGGTCTTTTTGAAGTAAGCTAGCCCAATCTCTCTAGTCACATTGATACTTTAGGAAGTAAAAATGTAGAATGGGGAACACCTCAGCCTCAAAGGTTCAAAGGTAGGCTCAGAAATAACCCATAGGATTAAGAAAAGGAGATTTTGATGACACTTTTGTTCAATATTCCACTAAGCGAAACTCTGAGTAACCTCATCTCTACCAGTTCTGACCTGTTTTGTAGGCAATTTAGGCTATTCAAGAGACCTGCAGAAGATCCGATCAAGAAGGTGCTTGATTATAGGTTGTTTCCTAACCAAAAGATTCAAAAGAAAGTATGAGTTCTAATTTTACCCATAGATTGATTATTTCATCACTCCGTACAACAACTCAATGTCTTTGGATAAGCTCATGGATTTTACACGAAGAGATTTAGAAGAGGTAAGCCCTTACTGCTCATATTTTACAGAACGGACAGCATCTGGATAAAGATCGGAGGTACAAGAAGTGGAATCTCATCTCAAAAGCAACTTTTAATGAGAAATAATAACCTACTCACTGCACTTAAAGGTATTTAAGATTCTTGAGTTTCATGAAACTTAGTGGGAAATATCTGCTATAGATAAGCCAAAGGAGCCACAAGCCGTTATGTGTAAGAACTAATTTCGAAGGATCGAATTTTGTGGGTCAAAAATTCATGAGTTTAACTGGAGAAAACATTACATATTAAAATTTGACTAACTCTTGGATAGTCTGAATAGGCTAGGTGTTGATTGATTATAGCAACCCAACTTGGTAAAGTGAGTAAGAAGGAAGAAGTTTGAATTATAACTCATGGAGAGTTTTTATCAGAAGAGCAGCCTAACCCAACAAAAGGTATTAATCATATCTTTCAAACATTTTAGGTCCCCCAGCTCATAACCCATCAGCAATAGTGAAAGAGAATAAATTCGGTGATTCTTTGATGAAATTCTTGATAAGCGCAAAGATAGATGAGCTCCCTGAGTTAGAGTCTAAGACTAAAGGTAAGCTTTGCTCTTTTGTATTTCTAACTAACCAAATATCTAGAAAACCCAAGATACAGATCAACTATGAAGAATTATCCTTATTTCAAACCCACCAAAACTATCTCCCCCAAATAACCCCAAAACCAAATCCTCAGAACCAAACCCACCCCAAAAATTTAAGATCTTCTACACCTCACATTCCAGAAACAGCCCAGCCCAACCAACATTAACCACTTCCATCACCAACAAAAAGCACCAAGGTAAGAACTCCCCTTTAAAATACACCCCTCTACTTCCCACTTTCACAAAACTGGTTGTAACCAGCCTCTAAATTTCACATTTAAAATCCCCAAAAAGACCAATACAGCTAGAGGACTTCCTCTGCGTGTTTCCTTTTGGTAGGAGGCTTGGTGGGAAGGAGGGATGGGGGATTTAGAAGGGAATCGGGGTATAGGAGGAGAAGAGGTATAGGTTTAGGTATAGAGCATGGGGTTAAGACAGAGAGGAGATTTGGGAAAGAGAAGGGGGAGAAGGGGAGATTTTTGGAGAAAGTTGATAAAGGTGAAGTTTTAGGGGTTATGATGGGTTTAGAGTGAAATGAAACTCTGATGGCATTGAGGAGTGGGTGTAAGCAAAGTGATGGGATGTCGAATGTTTGGGGTAGTATACCACATAAGAATATGAAGCAAAGGTTTTGTATGAAGTCTTCTCTCATTGCTCTTTATAAGGGATAATGTTATATTCTAACGCAAGGCTATATTCAATATTTGCAGAAATATTGGGGTTTTGGGGTTTTGGGGTTTTGGGGTTTTGGGG